GGGAAACAAAGCAAGCCCGCCTCCACGTGGTGTTTCCTGGATAGCGCAAAAGGGCCTCTGTACAGTATGTAATAGTATGTTGCATGATACATCCTGTGATTGGTATAGCTCAAGTCTTTCGAAACAAAAGGTTATAGAATGGAATTGGTTTACCGTAGACGGAGTGATTTTTCGACAAGGAATGTGCATGTCATCAGATGTACACCTAAAATGAAAGTATAATTGGAATTGTGATGTACACACGGATTCAACCGTGTTAGTTTTAGTGTCTAACTACTAGCAGCTGGAGTATTTATTTGTGTCCGACAATCTAGTATTAGTAGGTCATTTGAAAGAAGCGCCTTGAGGTTAGCCTACCCAGTCTAATTGAAGCGAATCTTTGAAAGATAATAGAATGATCATCTAATAGAACAAGTTATGCGTTCATTGCGAAATCAATGTTCAGTTGTCGTAGTTCTTGCTTTACACTCTATGCTTGAGTGTTAGAAAGTATTCAGAATTAATAAGAATAGAATTGGGGCAATGGAAAAGCAAGGCACCTGATGAGAACAATGGAGAAGAGCTAAACTGAATATGAGACCGATATATAACATTGTTATATCATCGAAATAATACTAAATCTTGTTCAAAATTTATTGCTTGTTTTGAATCAATAAGTTGCATTGGGATTGAAAGAGAAAAAGGGAAACTTATCTTGTTTATTTATGCAATAAATTGACAGTAACCTATAGGGACGATCTAATCGATTGCTGCTTTTTCTTCTAGATTAAAATATTTCATCTAGAAAAGATTATGTCTGACCCTGTCATCATCAAAAAAGAGCTCATATATGAGCATATGGAAATGGAGCAAGGTAAATAAGACTCATTTTGATTGCATAAATCTATGCTAAAACATAATATTGTCTACTTTTCTTGCAGATGTAATGGTGAAAAACACCAAAAACCTGAAGAGACGACGTTGTCGACGACGACAACGGCAACAGCTTGAACGTGTGGTATTGGAGCTCGCTGAAATGCGGCAGGAGATCCAGCAACTACGTGCCACAGACGAGAGCCATAAAGGCTCAATTAAAACGTTGTTCCTCAGTCTCGGCGATACTGATTTCCTCGCCGAAAAGTTACAAGAGAAGATACAACAACAGTCGACGATGTTGAGCGTGTATCAACAGACATGTAGTACCGTACTCGCTGGGTTTTCAGAGGCGCTGAAAAACATCAGCACTCTGTGTTACACAACAAAATAATTTTTTGTTGTTGTAAATATTGTGAATGTACTGTGTGTCGTGTGTGTCTTGTGTTTCGTGTGTTTCGTGTGTTTCGTGTGTATCATGTGTGCCATATTGCGAATCGAAGTTCTTCTCCGCTGTGAAACCTGTGTTTTTTATGAAAATGTTTTGGTTTGTAATAAAATTTCTGAACATAACTTCATGCCGTCATCGAATTCATTGCTTCAACGAATCTATGCCATGGGTAACAAGGTATGTATGGTTTTTTTTTCTTTTGTCTTTTTGGGAAATAAGTCAAGCCCACCTCCTCGTGGTGTTTCCTGGATGGCGCTAACGGGCCTCTGCAGAATCAACAGTAATGGCTATAATGGTATGATGCTCCCATGGGAGATATTGGTGTCCTTCATGTCCTCACGGAAATCGATGTAACAAGATAAGTATGTTGTGGTTATCAGTATTTTTGGGAAATCAAGCTAGGCCGCCTCCACGTGGTGTTTCCCGGATAACGCGAAAGGGCCTAGGTAATGCAGAGAACATGGGTGATGTTAATCTTGTGACCTATTTGTGGTGAAACCATACGAACGACTCTATCGTTATAGTTGTAGTGCGAATGAAATGAGATGGAATGGAAAGGAATGCGATGGGTAACATGAGATGAATCCTAGGATGTTGGTAAGAATAAGTCTCTTCTTGGGATATCGGACTCACATGTAACTTTGATGTTTCATCTTTCGAGATGGAATAGTAAAGTTATTGTGTGAATTCGATATCTCAGGAAGAGACTTTTTTTTTGCGCATTTTTCCTAAGTTCCTAACGATTGTGGTACAGCCCTACCGATACCAAGACATCAGTGAAAAACGGTTGCCTATTTTCACTTGTCATATATTTCACATACTCGTTGTGAAATGTTGATTGACGCGGATGATTCCGAAGAGTACGATGGTAAACTTGTTGTTCTTGTCATTGAGTGGGAAATCAAGCTAGGCCGCCTCCTCGTGGTGTTTCCCGGATAACGCTAAAGGGCCTATGTAATGCAGAGAACACGGGTGATGTTAATGTTGTGACCTATTTTTGGTGAAACCATAGGAACGACTCTATCGTTATAGTTGTAGTGCGAATGAAATGAGATGGAATGGAAATGAATGCGATGGGTAACATGAGATGAATCCGAGGATGTTGGTAAGAATAAGTCTCTTCTTGGGATATTGGATTCGCATGTAACTTAGATGCTCCATCTTTCGAGATGGAATAGTTAAGTTATCATGTGGATTCGATATCTCAAGAAGAGACTTTTTTTTTACGCATTTTTTCTAAGTTTTCAGAGGTAGCAACTGATGTTTGGCTGTAAAAGTTGGAAGAAAATCCTAACGTTCGATCGGATGAAATTCTGAATGGAAAGGCCACGGATTTTATGACGAGTTAGTTGGGGATTGTTGAGAATAGATAGTCGATAGAATTCCATTGGCTGATGTTCAGCAATGGCATAGAATCGCCTTGAGTTGACTAGTTGATTCGAGGGAAATCAAAAGAAAACAACGATGAGGGACTTGTACGGTGTTCAGGATTTCATGAGTTGAATATCGGTATTTCAACCGTGTAGTTAAGACTACATTTTCGATATGTTGGAAGTCTAAGACGATAACACTATATAGGGAAGAAAGAAGTATATGTGTTGAGGTCAGATATCACAAGGAAGTTCTTTGCTTATCCGATTTGTGTGATTTATGCTAAGTATGTTGGTCTTTTTATGGTGTGGAACACAAATTTAGGTCGTTTCCTCGTAGTCTTTTCCGGAAAACGTGCAAGAATAAGTCTCTTCTTGGGATATCGGATTCACATGAAACTTTGATTTTCGATCTTTCGAAATGAAATTCCTTAGTTATCATGTTAATTTGATATCTCAAGAAGAGACTTTTTTATGCATTTTTTTCTAAGTTCCTAACGGCTGTGGATGTTGTTTTGGGTGGAGACTTTGTTAGTAAAACTTTAAATGATTAATGTTTCCGAAAAAATCCTAACCTTTGATTCAATGAGCGTTCGGATAAACACGGGAGTTGGTTTGACAGTTTATATTAGTTTCGATACTAAAGAATGTTGAATAGAATGCGAGTTCGTAAGAATATTTGAATATCTCTATGTAGCGATATTTTGGAATCCTTGGATGCTAATCATGATGTTCTTATTTGTAGATAGAATCACCTGCAATAGCATGAATAACGAACAATGCAAAAAATCTCTGGAAGGTAATTTTCAATTGAATTCTCTATCTATTGGTTGCTGAATACGAGAAGTGTACATTTTATGTTCTATTGTAGGTCTTCAACAGGCTGAACAGATGGTGTGTGAAAATATAATCGTCAATAAAATATGTCAACTCGGCAGAGAGAATTGTGTCAAGAATCTCCTTGTTACCGTAAAAGAAGATTGTGAACGGCAACAAAGTGAGCTTGCTGAACTCAAGAAACAAGTTCGAATATTTCACGAACTGTTTAATTCAGTACATGGTGTCGTCGATGTGGTGGTTCATAGTTTTGATTCTTTGCATCAACCTATACCGCTAGTGAAACAAGAACCAAAAACACTAGAATAGCACCATGAATGTATTTAATCTGTCACATCTTTGTTGTTATTCTCATTTTATTTCAATATATGTTGGGGTTAGAAATGAATAAAGTGGATCGTCTTGTTTTGCAGATTAGTATCTTCTGTTGAACCGATTTGCCTGCAACACAATGAACGATATACAATGTAAAAACTTCAATGAAGGTAAGTTTTATGCATCATGCCATCTTATTAATACTGCTTTAGTCTTTTTTAAGGAAGTCATCAGCGATGTTGCGTCGAAGATGAACTTGTTGCGCTACAACTACAATGGAATCAGCAACGACAAGAAATCGTCGATCTAAGTCGACAAATCGATATATTTCGAGAAATCTCACATAATATCTGTGTTGCATGTGACTCACTAGTGGGTGTCTTGAATCATTTCCATGAACATTTACAACAAGTGCATCACGACTCAAAAATGATTTGTGATTAACTATTTTTTGTCCGTGTTATTCTGATTGTGACTGTTTCTATAGTTGTTATAAAAGTGATGATTACATAGTGGTACAAACCACATTGCCTTGTTCTCGATTGTGTTGTTCAAAGTTGTCTTGTTGAAAACTATATTTCAGATTAACAGATTTAGAAATTATCATCGATATCAGTATGTCAATCATTATTCGTGAAAGAAGCGATATTGTCGATTTTAGACCTATCCAAATAGATGGTCCTGTAAGTAGAAGAAAATCAGTGATTGTACAATGTATGCTATGTTTTATATTTTTGTTGTAGAAATATCATGGGTATCGATGGGAACCGATGGTTCGATTGGAGTTAAATGAAAAAGGTGAAGTAAGTATTGAGAATTATATTTCCTTCACTGAATGAAGTCATGTTTTTTCTTTATTAGTTTATCTTACCATTTTCAAGAAGAGTGATCGATGTTGACTTTCTTCTTTGGCCAAAAGTACCTAGTAGCTGTATACATTGTGGCTGCATAGATTTTGAAAAAAAATCTGATCCATACCACATTCTCAACGATACGGATGACGATGACGGTAGCATCGCAATGTCTGCATCATCTACAACATCTGATGATTACATTTCTAATAGCGATGATGATGATAATGACATAGTCTCGTCCCGGTCATATTCACCATTCGATTATGATCCATTTCAATCGTACGACTATGAGTGTTAATCGATATTTTGAATGACATTATGCATAGTTGTTGAATTTCATTGTTTTTTTTTAACTGTAATAAATCGATTAAATCAGTTTTTCTAGATAGATTTTTATTTCGTTCATTATGGACATGAATGAAATCAACGAAGATGATAAGACACTACTTAGATCAAACCGACCCAGTACATTAAGCTTGGTAATTATTCACAATGCTTAATCTAAGTATGCACATTTTAATCTATAGGAAATACACACTATGGATGTTGATATCAACGAAAAGGTACTAGTGATTGATTTATGTACACCAAATGATGTTGATATAAAAAATGAAGCCAGTACATTAACGCCGAAACCGTTGATCGAGCGATTTCCAAATCTTGGTAATCGATTGCCTGTATTACCTTGCTACCCAACAAATGATAAATATGCACATGGTGATCCATTGTTACCGAACATATCACGTATGTGTATTGAAGACAGATCGTCCTTATTTTGTTTTTCTCAAAAATTATAGCACATAGATTAACACAAACCGAACAGACACGTCGACAATTGGGCACATTTAAATCAGAGTTCGATTTCATAACTAAGGATTCGATGGTACCATCGTTTTTATATGAAAAATATCAAATGTTCTATGTCGATTTACTCGCACGTTTGAAAGTAGACATAGCTATCTTGGATTATAATTATTTACGATTGAATAATTATATGAAACTGTTGTTATTTGAACGCATGCGTATATTCAATATTTCACTTAATAATATTTCAAAAATCGATGAAAAAGAATATCCACTTGCATTGGAATTCTTTTTGCAATTTGATGGTAAGTGTTATTCTTCTTCTTCGTTCGTTTTTAAATCATGCTGTTCTAGTCAATATGTTCTATATGAAAACGTGTTCACTTCGTTATGCACGTCCTCGTACACTAAATGAAGGCCTATTTTGTTTACAAGAACCAGAAGCTCGTTATGAACTGTCTGCATGTGGTAATTGTGCATTATGTTATCCTCAATATGATAGGACATATCGAATGAAAAAATCAATTGTTGACTTCAGTCAAGCTCATCAACATACATTTCTCAATGGATACCATGCTATTCTTAATTGTTCAGCTGCAAGTTTCATCTATTAGACTGATATCGTTTTTCATTTTGTTTTTCTAGTCATGCCACACACGTAATATTATCTATGCATTAACATGTCCATGTGGTAACGTTGATTATATTGGTGAAACCATGTATAGTTTACATGATCGTCTCATAAGTATATATATATATATATTTATTTTCCCTGTCTATATTTACCTATTGGTAGAACATCGCGAACATGGCAATCGAGTTATGGTAGAATTTCTCATTGGGCAAGAAAATGTTCTACGTGATTTACCACGAGGAAAATCAAATGAGTATAGAAATATGCAGAAAAATGCTTGTCTCTATTTTGTTCATGGTTCTAGGGTATCATCAAAAGATCATATGAAACTTTATCAGCATTCTGTACGATGTACAGTAGCTATGCAAATATTTTTGGATGCTAACCAACAATATTGGCGATTTGTACCTATGACAATAGAAGAATCAGAACGACCAGAACAACGATCTGTTCAAGGTATTTCGTTTACTAACGAACTCACTTGGAATCTACGACAAATGGAAGATTGCACAATATATGTTGAATCAGTTCCGAAAGCATCGACTGGCTATACGTTTTCCAATCGACAAATAGGATTGCAATTGTCCTATTTTAATAAATAACGAGATAAAGATTTACCAAATCAAAATATTGATTTATATAATGCTACCATTGTAGCTGTTCGTATGTTTAGTTCGAATAAGATTCAAAT